AAGGAAACTTATCGTAAGGGAAGCGCTCCAATATCCTAAGAAAGGACCTTTGTCTTCCCTGCTTACTTCCTCGTTGAGCAAGCTGGGAGTCATCAACGTGAACACTCCGCGAAAACGACTAATCAGTAGCTCAATCTAGACAAGCAACAGCTCAAAGCGAATTTTTCAGCAATCTCAGATATAATTAATATAAAATAAAACTATAAATCAGAAAAATCTTCCTTTCTAATGCATAATTGTGATCAGTCTTTTCAGCAGGAATCAAGCTCAGTTATCGATCACTGGTCGTAAAATTTATTTCCAATATCTCAAGACGATCAGAAGATTAAGAGCGAAGAAAGTAGACAGCTGCTGTTACACGTCCAGATGGGAAAAATCAAGTGAATATATTGCTTCTCCATATCCATTTCTATCTCACACGTAGTCAGTGGGGTTTCAACGTCAAAAAAAAAGTTCGCATCTTTTGTTTCCCTGTCTCAACGAAACAAACTATACTGATTCTTACCCCAAGGTTTCTTCCGTTGTCCATAGGTTTCGAACGGCCTCGCAATGATAATTGGAGTTGTCATGTCATGATCAACGTAGGTGAAGTCATCGAACCCGGAATCACCCGAGCTAACTGCCGAGGCCTTCATGGTGAGTGGTCTGGAGGCTTTCCGTGCATTTAGAAGCACCTTCTGTGCTTGACTTTGCCTCCTTCTGTTCTGATTCGATTTGATCAGCTGATTAATATGGTAGTTAACAATTTGCACAAATTCAGTATACATTGTGAAGTTAGAATCGAATATGTACGCAGTAGTCAGTAGGAGTATGAATAACGAATAGATAACGAGGCCAATGGGGCGAATGGGTAACGATTCCCAGTTATTGCATGCGCTCAGCTGAGAATATCATGGCACGTTTACAACGACTGGCCAGTGAGGGACTTTGCAAAGAGGCGGGAGATGAGGTGACAGGTCAAACGGACAGCTACAAATTTATCAAAAGACTGCTGCAATCACAAAGGGAATCAGTTGTCGGGACAACTGGCTGCGATAGTCGCTCTCAGCGGCCAGCATCAATCTACATGAGCCCAGTCAAACTTTTTAACGAGCCTGCAAATCTAGTTTAATATTTATAATCCATGCTCTGCCTTCCAAAATGGTCAAAAATGATTTTCTATCCAGCTCTACTGCATAGCTTGCCCTCGTTTATCATGTCTAATATATTCAACAGCGCAAGGCCCCGAGATAATCGCAATTTAGTCGGCGATTCAAGACTGCAATTTAACAAGCTTGCATGGAGTCCCAATATGGAACCCACCAGACACTTCGAAAAAGCGACAACAGGAATCTCTGACAGCAGGGAATCACTTACCAGGGAACGCTTTCACTCTCCCATGGAACACTGAATGGAGACCTAGGCGAATTGATAAGCTCACGCATACTAGCACAAATATGAAGAGCAAAACTGCTACGTGACTTTCCAGAACCTTATGAACGGCTGACAACAAGTGCAGTAGGGGGGTTAGGCGCCAAACAGGCGCCAGATTTCCCTGTATCAAAAAAGGAATGTCATAATCGTGATAGAGACACCTATTTACCTCTACAGACAAAGTTAAGAAGGAAATTCAATTTCTGATAATGGATAGATTAGCTCGTTGACGCTGCATTTGCTGCCAATTTTGACCGCTTACAACTTTCTCGGAGAGCTCACATAGCAGCTGAGTGTCTATTTAGTAAGCACCATTCTTGATTGTACTCATTTACCCAATCTAATCTAAACTCCATGGGAAGGTTTTCCCTGGTTAGTGATGTGAGTGTCCCTGGTTCATGAGTGACCACGGAACACAGATGAGTGGCGAAGGTATTAGATACCGCTTCGAGAAGAGACGGACGAGGATTTCACAAAGGAGCTAATAATATGACAATGTTTTGCGCACGCAGCTATACGATAAGATTGCAGATCGCATCTCTTGCTTACCGAGTAAATGGTCTGCTAACTACATTACCGGGGCACTATTTCAACTTAACTCTTTTGGTAATATTTCACTATAGCTCATCAGCGCTCACGCCTTTACCATAAGGAGCCGCTAAGCCGACACCACCGACAGGAACAACAAAACCGAACAACTAAAACAAGACTTGCGTGCAAAAAGAAAACAATTAAAGTTAATAACAACGTAACAAACGTCGCTAATAAAAAGACAATCCGGAAACTCCGAGAGTCTCGCCCACGATTTTCGTCGAACACGCAAATTCGAAGAAAGTTTCGAGACTGACCGGGGAAAAAATCTCAACAGCACCATAGCTCAATATCACGAAATAAAGGCAGCACAAACCAAACGACAGCATCGCTACTATGACGACAAACTGTCAACACTCAAAGACCAACAGCAGACAGAGCTCCGTAGCACAACTCGAGAGCTTTGAAAAAGAAGCCTTCACATCCTTACAAATCCAAAAGATAAAAGATGCAGTATAACAAAATTCAGCTACTGTTTGTCTGTGCCTTCTAGAAGTAAGCCAGGCAGCCAGATGTGATCACCCTCATGAAAAGCAGCTACGTCAAACGAAGGTAGTAAACCACCGGGGACACTCAGAAAAACTCTCAATAACCCCAATCCAACCGAAGCTCTCGATGACAACGAAATCAAAAAATGCTGAACAATATCTTCTCAAAGCCTATTCTTCTATTATACATATTTCACGCTCCACTTCCTCTCACAACGATATCTCATGGAAGAGCAGCACCACAGAGTGGGACAAGATTAATCACTGCTCTTGATAACTGCTGACTATTAAATTAAACCCACACGCCAACTCATCAACCACCCAAACCTCCTGAGAACATTTCGTTAATGAGCTCGAGCTCTGGCTAACTCCTGGACCACTTAGTCGGAGAACTTCTCGCAGAAATAGGAAATATTGGGTTGTCCCCTAGTTCCTAGCTTTTTTTGGTTAAATTCAAATTTCTACATGTCAAATTAGCGAAATGAGTTGATACTTTTGAAGAACACATCAGGGATCTTCATCCAGGATGTTTCAACACCTCAAATTGGTAAGGAACCAAAATAGATCAACGACCAAACCTAACGATTATGCCTTGCGACAATTTTTAGAAGAACCTTGTAAGGGTGCGGTAGGCAAGATCAGCGCTACGTTTGCCCCAGTCTTTGCTGCTGAACGGGCACTGAACTATTCGCTCCAATAGCATCGGCAGATACGATAGGAGCTGCCGAAGCTATCGACCTCATCATGGACCTCCAGTCACTTTCGATGAGGACCCCTTGCGCAACGAATAGGAAGTGCATCCAGACGCTATTAGCAGGAAACTGTAGCAAACATCTGGCGCAGCCTACGCTCCATGAGTCGACACCTGAATGGAATGGGCTGCAGCAGAATGAAGCCTCGATGGAAACAGCATGCATCGACTGACCATGACCGAGAAGCACGCCTGACCATCTGCAGAAGTTTCATTCTGCGACCGTATAGACAAGACATTCCCTAGTTGGTCACCAGTGCAGATGAGTCACGAGTCTACCACGATAACAACACGCAGCACGCCTTGTGGCTACCACGCAGCCTGGACCACCATTTCGACAGAAGCCCAAGCTCTTTCATCACAGGATATTAACCCCGGTTCGTTGGATTCGCTGGATAACCTGTTTTGGGAACCATTTCACTTTATGTGGACAAGCATTGTGATGGTGATCAAGGAAGTTCCAATGTTGGCCACAGCGGTGCAGGAAAATGGTTCGAAACGTCTCGAAATCTCCTTTCTCCGAAGGACCGCCCGAAATCACATTGCAAAGATAACTCGCCACGTTTCGAAGGAAACTGGCTGGACCACGGCACCACATCTATCGTATAGCCCTGACATTACTCCATCGTACTATCACCTCCTCAGCTCCCTGAAGCAGCAGCTTGGAGAGAAAACGTCAGTAAATGCAACCACCCCAAAAACGACCTCTCCGAACTTTTCATTCCACAGCTTCCATTCGTTCTGGGAGGAATGCATCCATTCGTTCCCTAGCAAGTGGATGCTTATCAGTTGATTATGATGGTGGTTACATTTCTGATTAATTGTTTTTTAGAAAATAAAACTTGATGAAATCAGAGTGTTGAAATTCGGCCAGAAATTATGGGACACCTCAACAGATGAAGAAAATGAAGGATGCCTAAGTGCACTTGGGCGACGTCATCCGAAAAGCATTCTGCTGACGGCGGAACGGAGAACTAGTGATTGTACGCATAAATATCGAACGCAACGACTCATCACGACCGGCGACGACACCAAAGCAATGCGTTTTCATTGCGTCGCCGTCGTCGCCATCACCATCATCGTCGTCGTCGGTGTTGCGGAATGGAATCGAACACATTGACGGATATTGATCGCCAATATCAATATCGATGAGGTCTCATCCAGTAGGGGGGGGGACGTGATGCGACAGTTCATATCAGATAAAGTAATCAAGTTTTTTCTGCAGGGGAGGGAAGCTCCGGGGTGGGTGTAAAAGTTTAAGCGAAATGGTTCACGCACCCCGGGGATTCCCTCCCCTTGCAAAAATTGGAATTTCTGTAGCCGGCAAGAACTTTCACCACACGTCTCCCCTTACTGGATCAGACCCAACAACGTCACTAGGAACCGAGTAAGCTAGTTATAACACGCTATATTCACCTCTAGAGAGGATTTCAGCTAATCAGAGCAACACAGATATTGACAACTTATCGAAATTGGTTCTATCAAAATAGTACAGAGCACGTCAATGTCCATTAGCCGAGATGCAGTGATGCACAGAAACCTGCGTGGCCGATACGAAATCGATCGTTAATGGCCCGAAATCCGAGACTGTCGCGGAACATTGACAGTGGTTCAGAAACCTGACGCCTTCGCTTCGATTGACTTCTATTGATCGGTATCCATGTCAGCTTTGAAAGCCTTCAATGGCCTTCAATCTGGTTGAGAAGTCTAATAATTTTTCCATCCAAAATTGAGGAGCTGATGAAAAAAAAACAATCTTGGACGAGATTGCTACGGTATTATCGATTTCAATACGACTAGACAGCAATAGTAAGCGCGTGGAGTGAAAGTGACACAACTGTCTGCCCTTCGAGGGCAGCCGACAGATAGTTGATGATAGAAGAACGATAAGATGAAACTAAGACGACAGAACGACGCGACGAACGACGTCGGAACGAATGGCGCAATTCAACGTTAAAAGTGGGACATTAACATGAAATATATCAGAATAACAAAATGCTTTACACATAGAAATCGCGTTACTGTTTTCAAACATCATATTGATTATATTCGCTATTACTGCCAGCTGCCGAAAAAACGCCCAAAAATGTCATCCACGCACTGATTCCTATCAGCTTCCCTTGCAAATACCCAAAAATTTTAGCGATGACCTCAAACCCTTAGAAAAAAAAGCAAACCTAAATAAAAGTTGTCAGGGTTTACCTACTCTGCTTAAAAAAACCTCAAGAAACCTGTGATCATCAAGTAAATATGAAATGTTCTGGCGCTGCTATAGCAACTACGTGCCATAAATCCCACGAACACACTCCAAATAAGTGAATCATATCCACTGGCAGAAACTACAACCTCGGCCTCACCCCCTTTCACCGGAGGGGAGGGGGAGAATAGAAAGACCTTTTTTGATACTTTATCCCAGTACTACAAGTTGCGTCACGGTGACCGTGATGAGCAACCAAGAATTGTCATCAAAAGAAACCTTATCAAGGTTTAGAGTCATAGGTCAATCAAAGGTTGGTATTCAATGCCACAATTGTTTCAGCTAGTTACGCATAAAGAAGAGACGATGTTTACACTTCGCAAAAAAAATTGAACAAAATTCAAGAAACCCAAACGAGTGTCTACGGGATCAGTGTGAACCTGTTCTAGGAAGGGGAGGGGGCTCACCATCTAATCCGCAACCCCATGGAATTTTCTCAAAGGCAGAATTCACGATGAAAAGGCAACCCATTCCAAATTAAGTTAGGATGGTGAGTGGTACACGAAAGAAGGAAGAACCATGAGAAACGGCCCAGAACCCGAGAAATGGGACCCCTTCCTTGCCCGTTGATTTGAGCATTGATGCGACTCTCATCGCTGTGCCCTCTTCAACACTACGCTCTCTCTCAACACTACGCTCTCTCTGCTATCTAATCACTCGCCACGTATAGACCTGCGGCGAGTGATTAGATAGTCGGTGGGCGTACCCGCCAACCGCGCCAAGAGTGAGCCATGCTAGATCGCCGAGGTCAAATCTTTCGCTGCCAATTGCGCGTCAGTCCGCACCCTCAGGAGGTCCGCCTGTCTCCCAACTAGGCAATTTTCCCCTTCTTCGACCTTCGTTCTTATCGTGGAATCCTCCTTCAAGATGACTATTGAGAGCCCTACCTGACAAATACCATCTTCAAAAAGTGGGACGAGCGGGCTAGAGAAGCGGGGGGATTACTATACTCCATACAACGATCTATCTGA